TAAAAAAAAAGACATATACAATATGTATATTAATATGAGCAGCAGCAGTTACAGTGAAACTGATGAGGTGATCCTCTCTTTCCTCTGTTATAAACTCTGACATTTTGACCATTAAAGTGTGAAACAGGTGAGAGATTACGAGTTCTCCATCCGTGAGCTTCATATGAGACCTTCTATCAGCAGACTGACTGAGTGCAGGTGACCTGACAGGATCCTCTGGAGTCCAGACGCTGTCAGTCACTGTTTGTGTTTGTCACCTTCAGTCGGGTCAGCAGAGCGAGTCATCCTCCAGGTTCCTCAGAGGGAACGTCTCTGGCCTCAGAGATCCTCCGTCGCTTCAGACAGCTGCAGATGGATCACACCTGGACGGAGTCGCTGTACGCCACGCTGCAGTTCCCCGACAGGTAGGTAGAGGGAGCAGAGCTCATTCCAGAGGTTGGAGAGTGATGATGGAGAGCACACCTGTCTGTCTGTCTGCCTGTCTGTCTGCCTGTCTGTCTGCAGGTCTCAGAGGAGCTCTCTGTGGTTGGTGGACTCTGAAGGACTGATCTCTGAACAGATTTCCCTGAACCCGTCTGACTACTGTCCGTACAGCGCCACAGGAAGTACCACGGTGAGACAGACAGACAGGATGGGTTTGTCACCATGGTAACCATACAACCATACAATCTTTACCTGTCTCTCTCTCTCTCTGCAGGGGGGCGTGGTCTACGCCAACTACGGCCGCCCGGAAGATTTTAATTGGCTGAAGAGCTCGGGCGTGTCTGTGGTTGGCTGTGTGGTGGTGATGCGTGTCGGGGGCGGGGTCAGTTTTGCTGAGAAGGTCTGGTTGGCTGAGAGGAATGGTGGGGGAGGAGCTTTGATCTACCCCGACCCCGCTGACCTGCCGCAGGACCCCCGACGCCTCGGACTGAACATGCACACCGCCGTGTCCGAACATGTAACACACACACACACACACACACACACACACGTTCCATGTCTCGCTGCTCCCGACCAATGAGAATCTTAATCTGTGTCATCCAATCACAGGTCCATCTGGGGTCAGGTGACCCTTTCACCCCCGGCTTTCCCTCCTTCAATCACACTCAGTTCCCGTCCATCCAGTCCTCGGGCCTGCCCCTCATCCCAGCCCTCCCAATCAGTGCCACTGTGGCTGCCAAGCTGCTCAGGTGAGCCCCGCCCCCTCAGGTTACCTGCCCAGATGTTCTAGTGACCTCATTGAGTTTCTCTGTGTCTCAGCCAGCTGTCAGGTCCGTCCTGTCCTCCGTCATGGCGGGGTCGGTTGCCGTATGTGCGCTGTGTGGTCGGTCCGGAGTTCAGCTCCGGCCGCAGAGTCAAGATGTCGGTCCACAACGTGATGGCGCCGGTCCTGCTCAACAACATCTTCTCCTCTCTGGAGGGCCGGGTCGAGCCAGGTACTCACTGACTGGAGAGAGAGATTCACACTTTGTATGAGTGGATCAATAAAAACCACTTCATCTCTCCGTCAGACCAGTACATCATACTGGGAGCTCAGAGGGACTCGTTGAGTCCAGGAGCTGTGAAGTCTGGAGTTGGAACAGCAATCCTCCTGGAGCTGGCTCGAACGTTCTCCGCCATGGTGAAGAATGGTAAGACTCACCTGGATATACATACAGTACATATACATATATATATACATATCCATATACATATACATACTGTATACATACAGTATATATACAGTACAAGACACATTATATATATGTACTGTATATATATGTAAACTATGGTTGGAATGATGGCAGTAGTTTTGTCAGTGTTAGTATGTGAGGCAGTAACAGGACA